TAGCTCTCGTACACTCAACAAGTAATTAAAAATATAAAATAACAATAAACCAGAAAAAAAATCATATAGATATTTGATCACTGTCAATAAAGATAACGTCAAAGTTCATTCCTGATGTATAGCAGTATATGCTATTAAAGTATATTTGCCTCTACAGGATATATTCTTTAGAAAACCCGTTAGAAACAAAGAAAGTATTGAAAACGGTGATGAATTTAAAAGTTGCTAGAATCTTTTTTCGATGAAGCAGCAAATTGGATTCCAACTCGTTATTTTGTTAATGACAGTGATAATCATATTCAAAATTATAGGGTATAAAAAATAGAGATCACTGGCAATATTAATAAAGCGTATTACAGCGAGCCAAAACACAAATAAGTCTTTGCATAATTTATAAAATTATAGCTCCATAAAAATGTGAATTGCTGAATTGCTTTAATTTGAAAATTTTCTCTAAAACTTTGCATGGTATTATAACATTATCAAAAGTTTTTCCATTGCATTTTTAATTTTAATTATTAATATCAGAATATTGTGTATATGGTTGATTATTAACTGCTCAAATTATAAATAAATAATTAGGAATGTGAAGATTATCTTTATAAATTGTTATGTAATGTATGTTGAATGTTATAATAATACTTTATCACCAAATAGAGCATTTTTTGGTTGGATTCATCGGTGAACCACTAGGACAATGGAATGCTTCCGCGAATTCAGGGCGATTCTGGAGGGGTATAATTGCACGATATTTACTTGGAGCATGCACATCAGCCATTATTATTTGTAAATAATATTTTGGCCTTATCAGTGAGCACCAATTCTAGAAGTAAATTCAAAAAGTCATTCAAATTAAAGATATTGAAAATATGTTTAATTTAAGTGACTTGTTGATTTATTAACATCAACACAGTTGTAACACGTCTCCGTGAATTACAATAATTTTAATAAATTGTATATCGTTAACTTTTTATGGAAATCAGACAACTTTTATTTTTGATTATGCAAAAATATGAAGAAAATAAGTATTGCGTGAAATGTTGGCATTTTCATAGGGTTCACTATCAGTCCTTTTTGAAAATATCTATATTAAAAAACATTAGTAAATAGATATAACACATTAACTTGCCATATTTTCAAAAAAATTTGCATATAAAAAATATACAAATTTTTTTGAGAATATGGCTAGAAATATTCTTGAAAAATGTAAACTATTTATAACTTTTTTAACAATAAAAAAAAGTTAAGCAAACTTACATTGGCATATGCAAGGAAGAACATTTGTATGCTAGTCATGTTTTGAAAACCTGGCAAGGCTACTTCACGATAATAATTCTTCTCGAGCCACGATTTGTAAGCCTGAGAATATTCATTAAAAAAATTTTTTAATTATTATCATGATAAAATCGATAAACTATGGATAAAAAGTGAAAAAAGTAAGATCAAAAACAAAAATGAGCAATAAAAATATATTAATTATAATGATAACTATAGTTGTAATAATGACATCCTTATTACTTCGACAATTTATGAGTAATAATTTGATAAAGTTGGATGTGATAAGTAAAAAGCGATAAAAATAGTTGTACAGAATACATTTTCTTGATTTTTTAAATATAAGTTTTAATTGATTTTTTGACTTTAATCCAAATTAATTTCTGTTGTCATATTTTCTTAATATCCACTGAGTTATAGTTATCAATGCAACATAATAACAAACAATTAGAGCTGTCTTAACACCAGCATTATCAGCGATATTTTCACCAACTGATAATCGCCCATTCAAATGCACGCCAGCTTCTTTGACTTTTACTGCGCTGTATTGTTTTATGAAACATTGCGTTTTTTCATAAAACTTATGCGCTGTTTTTGCATCCCACCAATTATGCAAATTTCCATACTCATCATAAAGACTACCTTGAAAAGAAGGAAAGTATCTGAAGCACATATGAATTCGAAAAATTAAAATATGAACATCACTAATTTGTCTACTGCGTTGCAATAATCAGTTAATCAGTTTCAGAAAGATTTATAAATTAATTTCAGAAACTATCAAATTATATTTCCGTCCTTTGTTTCAAAGGATTACATTTTATTGTAATTGTGGAGTGAGATTATGACAAGTATAAATTGTAATGAAATTTTTTTGTGCAGATTGTGATGTACAAGTTTTCTTAGATCAAAATTTAAGATGCAGATAATGAACAAGAGATCAGTAATACCATACCTTGATCATCGAAGGCATGTGACACTTCATGACCTATTACTGCGCCTACCATTGCGTAAGTGATATAGCTTGGCACACCAGGAGACATAAACGGAAATTGCATTATGCCAGCCGGAAATACTACAAAATGAAAGAAAATATTACTTCGTTAAGAGCAAATTTTGTAAGCTAAAGCTTTGTGGTCACAGAATGGCTGAATTCTCTTTTGTTTGAGAAAGATCACTTTATTTTCACGAAAATGAATGAATATTCGAAATAACAATGTGAGTACACAGTTCTTAGTAATAAACTAATTGTCTAAAAGCGCACTCATTTCGTTTAAATTCGGTGCATAGTAA